GCACGCACCATCTATACCTGCTCCTGTCCTTGCATTTCGTGCGACGTTTCGAATACTACAATGTTTCATTCTCGAGTCGACTGGGAACATCTATGCCTACCGCGTTTCGACCAATTCGAACCTGCCTCGAACTGGCACGTAACAATTCGAATTCAAAAGACAATAACAAGGAACCGACCCTGAGACGCAAAGAACAGTAAGGTACTTACTTATTCATACTCAAACGTCAGTCCAAGAAAGTTATGTTAGTCTGATATCGATTCCCCTTTCTCAGACTTCCTTTACTAACCCCTGGCACCTTCATCCTGAATGGGGCCATGATACACAATTCTCTCGGTTTCGCATTAGCAGAGCTCTTAGCCTCTCAGGGTAATTTTTTTGTTTGGCTTTTCCTACTCGACAAGTCTCAGAATTTCCATATTTGTCCGCTCCGTTCTAATGCTGAATATCATGATTGTGTGCTCTCTACTCCCGGTTGCCCTACATTCATTTGACTTTGGAAGGACAGTGCTTCGACGACATGTCGTCCTCGTGGCATTTACGAGGGCGGTCGTAAAACAAATAGATCACAATGTTTTGATGCTCTTAGACGCGCAGACCAACTGAGAAGACATCCTATCGGAGCTTCGTTTGTACCGGCGTTGATCCCAGCATCTTCACATTCACCTCTCGATCTATTAGAGGAGTGGCTATTTGATCCCCGCGTTGGTTCGCCAGCATTTCGTTCATTTGAAGGAACATAAAATAGCACACCCCGATGGTTATGGCATTCCTTTCGTCACGCTGTTAAAGTTAATATTGCGATGAGGAATAACAATGCCCGTCTTGTATCTAGATTGTATTGTGTAATGATCCATCGTGACCCTGATGATGTCTCCCCTGTCCTAGACAGACATGACTGTCCTAGTCTGACGTGTTCATAGCTACCATCTTTTCTTCAATGGCCTCTACCGGTATCTTGGAAGATATTCCATAACCTCTTCAAAGTTCAAGCTCTCCGCTCTGAGCCAGTTTCTGACGACTTTCGAATACCTACAGCAGTGGACGAAAACGTGGGCCTTCATTCGAGACGCTACCTTATGTTAGCACTCCAGTGCAACCCACAAGGCTTGACCCTGGGCCCGCAGCCCACCTGGTACCTCCCACGCACACATCACACACACGATGGCGGCAACTAGTACCATCGCGCACGACATGGCGATACTTGGAAGACCTATAGGACCTAAACCGTCCACCAGGACCTCGACGGTAATGACAACCGTAGAATGATTATAATATGCTGAAATGAGATTCTAGGATTTATCTGAAGCACTCGCATTGTTCCGGTCCTTTGAATTCCCCCAAGACACGAGACTACACAGGTGTACAGATCGTTTGAGCACTGCTGCTGCACGAGTGTAATTTCTCATCATCAGTAATGGATATAAAATGGATAAGAGTATAAAATTCGCCCCGCACCACTCAAATAACCACAATCAGCCCAAGCCTTCTCCATGGCGATGACCTGGGAGCCTGTACCGGTACCGCTGGTTCTTACGCTGCTCTTCTTTAATCTCCTTGTCGTGGGACTTGTTCTCCTAATTATCGACCACTGCACATGGCGTCGCTGGTGGAAGGTGCGTCTAAATTCCCTTCCATACTCCGACCTTATCGTTTTGACTTTTACTGGCTATATCAGCTTGAACGCCTCCGAGTCGATGATTCAGACTTGGAAGCCCTTTATGCAAATATACGAGAGCTGGAGGAGGTTGAGACGGCGTTAGCGGGGCAGATGGGGATGTGTAAGGAAGATTTCGACTCGGATACTCTACGTCTCGAGATCAAGCAGAAAGTGTCATCCAACCCAGATTATTCACCGGCTCTAGAGAGTATAAACAGGCTCTATCGCCTCCGCCGAAACCGCAGTCGCGTTAATAAGCAGATTCTCCCAATCAAATTGGTCCCACGTCGCTTACCTCCGGGTGTAAGTTCGTATCTTTAGTTGTTGGCCTTGATAGTAATCATCGGTGCTTTAGCCCCCCTTTACCGTCGACGCTTCGCGATTCTGGGTTGTCCTCATTGGAATTGATGCGTATCCAGACTACCCGCTGCGTGGTTGTGTTTCGGATGCACAATTAATGCAAAAATACTTCATGGAAGATCTCCACGTGCCCCCGAACCGCATACAGCTTCTGCTCGGGCCACACGAGCAAATCTCCCCTGAGGATCCGTTGTACCCTTCACGCACCCATATCACCGAAATGCTCCTCGGTCTCGCTACCAATGACGAGATACAGGATGGGGACAACATCATCATCTTCTATTCCGGACACGGCTCTTGCTACACAAATGAGAAAGAGGGTGTGATGGAACCCGGATACATCGAGGCGTTTTGTCCTATAGATCGCAGCTCAGGCGCCAAGAGAGACCCTGTCCCCGACATTAGTGATAGGGAACTCAATAGCATCCTAACCCAAATCAGCCGAGCTAAGGGGCACCGAATCACTGTCATTCTTGACTGTTGTCACGCTGGTGGCGTCAGCCGAGAGTTACCTGAGCCCGGAGCGCGTTTCATTCCCATAACAACAGGCGCTACGGTTGAGGATATGCTCCTCGCCGGGGAAAAATATCTGAAATATTATCCTGGATATCGGTCCATTGTATCAGAGGACTGGTTCCCGGATATAGACTCCCACGTTGCGGTAGCTGCATGCAAGGGATACGAGGTGGCAAGAGAAAAGGTGATAAAGGGGGAGAGCGGTGCAGTGGGATACATTGGAATTTTCACGGACTCGCTTGTGCGTGCTCTCCGGTCTGGATACTGGGGAAAAGAGACAAAGTATGTCGATCTGCCTTTGGGTTTAGATGAGTCGCACCATCAGACGCCTATAGTTTCTGGAAAACGCAGGTATGCGCGTCTCTGGTATCAGGACCACGCCAGTACTGAAGGTCATACGCGCACCTCAATGCTCGATCATAGAAGACTGGCCATTGTATATTTTCTGTTTATACTGATATTTATTTCCTTTATATTCAGTGTACTTTGATGTTGCCAGGACTTGCGTTCTAACGAGACTGGACATTGTATATCTATTTGTTACGCCACTGTGTGGCTAGTCGCCATTGTCATAATATAGCAGATAACGTACTCGTACGGTCGTCGGTATACCCATATGTCCATTGTAAGCAGTTGTTCATAGAAAGCTTGTAGAAAGTTATACTCGTGCCGGAGACTGCTCTTTCACGAAGAATACAATGAGGTAAAAAATTAGATAAGGGGAGAGAAGATACAGAAATCGTACCAACAAACCAAACTAACCGTCCTTCGGAGCTATTCGCCCTTTTCTCGCCTGGTTTTATAACACCAAATGAACGAAAAAAGCCTACAAGGAAGGGAAGTTAGTGAACCAATTTCAATATTTGGATAAGCTGGTAGAAACGAATCCACACGCGACGCGCATCGTGTTTTTCTTTTCTAGTGTTTCACACTCCGACCAGTTTCACGTGATGATTGAGTCGACGATTGGTCAACGACGCGCCCAGCGGGGCACCGATCACATCCCAGATGGACCGAACACAAAAGTGCCGACGTTCCAGATTACACTCTAGCACCGTCATGCATGGGAATTGAACAGCCGCAGCGGGATCTGAAGATACATTTACTCTACCGATGGCTCCGTCAACGTCTCCAGGTCTCCTGAGTCCTTCATCCAGCAGTTCACGAGGCCACAGTACTATATCCCCCTCTTGCTTAATACCTAACATTCAGACATGGTAACCGTGGTCCACAACATCCACGCCACGCTCGTTGAGGCGTACAGATTCTGCTCAACGACGATGGACGACCCTCCACGGAAGGAACTGTCGTCTGGCTCCGCTCTGTCATCGACGCGCTCCTTCCAGCCGTGTAATTCCACGCGTCCAATGTTGCCTGTCTGATAAACGTGCTGCAGTACGAGACACGTGGATACAAGCCGATCAGAACCAGTACGACGGGGCTAATGCGTGTACGCAGTTGCTACTTAGTTGGGGTTTAGGCATGAACACTGCGAATTATGTAGATGATGCGAGCATTCCGAGTGGATGCAGAATACCATCTCTACACATCGTTTATTATACACTTCCGCGGCTACAGTATTCACGAAAGACAAAATAAGTCACGGTACCTTGCTTCTTCAATCATCGTAGAAGGAATACCCTGCATTTTCGTCAATACAGGGCCCTGCGCAGCGAAAACCCGCTTTTAGGCAAAAAGTGTAAAAACACGATTCAATTACTAGGCCTACGATGCAAATCCATTGAAGTCAATGCCGTAGCAAATGCCAAAAATTTATCGAAGAAAAACTCAAAGTTACGGATTACAATCACAGAAAATATAGGACGACATGGCGCCGAGCGGCGAAACCTTGTCGGTAGTAGCTGAGTAACTCCTTCATTGGAGCTAAGGCATTGGCGGACTATCGAACCTAATTGCCACACAAAACTCTACGTTCCCTCGTTCACGATCTATCCGGAACGCAAGACTTCTTATCATATACTATGCTGCCTACTACCACATTCATGAACAACAGAAAGCTCACCGTGAGTGCGCGACATTCTGGCTTGTTATTCAAAAACGAATGAATCGGCTATACCAATATGGAATAAGGGGAATCGAACCCAGAATACAAAAGTCGGCCGTTGCACCACATCGGACGATACAGTACACTCGTGACTCTATGCAATCCCATGTAACAAATCGCTATCCCAATCTTTGCATGAAATACTTCCAAAGAAAGTAGCCCGTCATTGTAAAAGGATACACTAGTAGACATTTTCATTTCGAGGAAGGGGATTCGAACCCCCCGCGGCGTGGAAAGTGACCGTTACACCATGTTCGACGTATACTGGATCCCGTTCAGGTAGTATTATTTCTCTGGGTGTAGATGCGCGCCGACTTGTTGTTGTTCTCCCAGTCGTGGGTTCTGTCATTTCCTAGGGCGGCGGGAGTCAAAAAGTATTTGTCTGAGAAGTCGATGCGATTCGGATGCAGGGAATCGAACCCTGAGCTGCCACCACGATCATCGAACGCTGTAATGAGAGGCGGCAATGATGCTTTTACACCATATCCGAGTAATGTGTGAGTAATGTGTAGTATGCGACAGCTCTATAGAATCCAGGAAAAACAAAAGTATCTACTCCAGCCCCTTCCTCTTCTCATAATACATTCAACACAAACGGTGAGCTTTGGACGCACCATCACAAAGGCGGGTAACCAAATGCAAAGACTTTATTTAAAACTCGAACCCTGAGCGACTTGAATGGCAGCCCTTACATCATGCATCATGTCCGGAGTGCAATTGATTCCTACAAAGATAGCCGCCCAAATTCTGCGGTGGTAAAAAAAAAAAGACGTGGTATGATACAAAGTAATGCAATAACTGAGGAGCTCAAGAAGGGAAGAAGTTCTGGTACAATGACGGTGACGAAGCCTGCTCGTCGGCGTTAGTTGCCTCCTGGCTATTTCGTGCGAATATCCGATACGCGATCCCAGCACGGCCATCTATTCCCTTCCTCATAGTACTCAACCCGCCGTCTCTTCGGCTCCCGGTCCGCGTCTTCCATACGTCGATATGCATCCAACTCGTACCCAGGGTCGCGCCATTCAGTACACACTCTGGGCACATCACTGAAGCTTGCAGTATGCAACTTAAAACTCGGCTCCTTCGCGCCTTCGTCCTCGTCTTCGGATTCAGACGATGATGGGCACCAGACATAGGTACCACGGTTGACTTTGGAACGGTGCGAGGATAGAGGGGAGATAGGCGGTGGGGACAATGAAGGAGTGTGGGATGAGGACGAAGACGCCGGTGCCCGTGGACGTTCTGGGATTGCCGCTGAAGATATCGGCATGTTGGGCGCAGCGGTGCGTTCTGGCAAGGAAGCGGCGTATTGACGGCGGGTGGCGGGCTGGCGGGGCGGCATCGTTTGGTGATAGGACGGTGGATAGGACATGGTCGGGGGCTGCTGAGGCAATGACGATGACGATGATGAATGCGCCTCCTTCGGATAAACGCTTGCCGGTCCGCCCGTCATGGAATGGTTCCGGTAGTGCCTCTGCATGTTCGAGTTTACGTTGAACGACCTTCCGCACCCAGGAAATGGACAGTGAAACGCTACAGCACACGTAAGCGCCGGACAGATACAGGGGGCTGTGACTTACGAGTATCCCCTGTGTGGGTATTCTGGTGGATTCGGAGACTACTCGGGCGGTTGAAGCGCTTGTGGCAGATCTTACAGATGTGTCTGCGCATCTGGTCAGCAAGAGAGTCGTCAGTCGTGTATTCGTGGGTCAGCTGGGACTCGGAATTGGTGTGCAGGATGAAGACCGTCGCGCAGAGGTCCGTCGATGATGATGGTGGAGGAGCAGGCGGTGGTCGTTGCTGTAGGAGATAATCTGTTGACGTCAGTTTCGTCCGACATGCGAATACGACCAAGATTTACCAGGGAACATTTCGTGTATACTCGGTAGAGCAGTCATGTTGGTTTCGGTCGTGGTGGTGGTCAAAGAAGAAGGGACGAAAAATTATGTTGTAATGCGTGCCTGGATCAGCCGGCGGCCAATTCTGGCTATGATCTGAGCGTGGATCGGCGTAATTTTTGCTGCGGATCCCTCCCTGTTTGTTTATCATCTTCAGCGTGCGGCATCTCTGCCATTCGTTAAACCTATTACTAGACCCTAAAATAGTGATGGGGAATACACAGAGGGCTGTACCAAGGATCGCTGACCTGTTGATCAATTTCGGGATCAAATCGTCGATTCGTCATCTCTCGGCACGTATTAGGTTCACTTGGCATAGGCACATTCCAAACAGAGTCGGATATGGTGTAACGGCTAACATTACCGCCTTTCATCGTTGAATCGCTAATCTCTCCCGCGGTAGCTCGGGGTTCGATTCCCCGTATCCGAACGATTCTTCAGATAATTTGTTACTTTTGGACCTTCTTTAGGTCGCTATTAGCTAGCTTCCACCTGGAGGCTGGCCGGCCACTTCATGTTCCTCTGACAACGGGTTAGAACCTTAGACTGCGTATTCTCTTGATTCGGGATACCAGCTCAAAATCCCGGATTCGTGTTCTAATCGAGTCGGTGATACATTTCAGCCTACTTCTTCGTTCCCGATGTATTTCATTCACGGTATCAAATACGTCATAAACATGCAGGGTTTTCCTTTGCTAGGCCCGTAGCGAAGCAGGGACTTGACGTTGATGGCCTCGATTTGATTATGCCGCAGTGACACTTTCTAGCTGATAACTGACAATGATCGTCTTTTCAAGTACGTAGCTACGTTTCCTCATAAAGGAGTATCAGCACGCCGTATTACTTACTGCCAATAGAAAAATATCTTTCACCGTCTTAATCATTTGTCGCCATTTGGTACTGTCGTCGGATAGTTTAGTGGCCATCAATGGTCGTTGCTTAGGGTTCGATTCCCTCCGTCCGAATAGTACCAGTGCAGGGTTTTTTGTCAAGTACTTGACGCAACTTCGGAGTTCTTTGAAGTCATTCAGCTATATGTATTCCGACGATACACTTTCAAAAGCCTTCTGGCAATACGACTTTCGTGTATGTGATTCATGGTACTATCCTATACGGAGCCAGAATCACGAGATACGAGCCATCACGTTCTCGGGGGTCATTGCTGATTACACTACATGGAATGCTTTCTAGCTGACGAGGCACGTCGCCTTATTGGGACATTCCACTATTCGTTGTGAGATAGAACCTGTGTCCCTCACAGAGGATTAGAACGCAATTGGAACTAGTGCTGAAGCTATATGAGCCACAAATATCGTGAACCTGGAAGACAGACGAGTTGAGGTTAAATACTACGATCCAGTCGAACTAGCATTGTAGAGTGATCGGATATGGTCTGGCGGCTATCTATACTACCCTTGTATCGATAGTGCGGTAACTAGGGTTCGATTCCCTGTATCCGTAGTAAACTTCCCGTCCTCTGTTTTTTTAATCCTTATAGCCGTGGTTGTTATTGTTCACTGGGAATTAGCATGATTCGGCGAGACAGAATTTATTTCAAGTCTTGACTCGGATACTGGCACTTGCGTCGGGTGGAGTATTTTTCTTCCCGTGGCAGCACAAACATCCCTTACCATGAGTGGCGCTTCTTCTGTTGCCGAAGCACGTATTCAATCGCGAGGATGCTCCATTTTTGTACCTGACTTTCTTCACCAAAACCCCGACTGTTGCCAATACGCCGAGCTTGTTGCCACCACAAAAATGAATAAAGCCACTACTTATGGGTGTATTTGCGCATGACAGGAAAACGGTTCGCCATGATTGCGACCGTTCCGAGGCCATTATCCAGGCATAAACGAGGTATAACGAATAGTGAGAGCTGGAGCACGAGATGAGGGGAAATACATACACTAGCCGGTCGGGTCGGAGTCTTCTGGCATGAGTTCGCTAGCAGGATACCGGAAGGTGCTTGTTAATTCCATGTTACTGTGAATATACTGGTTAGTGCTCCTCCAGAAATCATGCTTTCTTCTGTACTTAGTACTTTCGAGATTGCACCGAGGAGATATACCAGATATAAGCAAACGAGGAGCCTAAGAGCAGATTTCATAGCGCTGAGATGAGAAGTTAAGGAGAATTTCATGTACAGGTACTAGATAGGACTCTCAAAACCTGGCAGTACTAAGCTAAACGTAGATATAGAGCATCGAATTTTCCTGCCCAAGAAGGTGGACGCTGTGTCCCCTCCAGTGATTTGACGCGAGTGCGCAAGGTAATGACACACGAACGTCGTGGAGCTGAAATTTAAAAGAAAGTTAGAAACATCTCGGTTCCGTCATTAGTCGGAAAGTTTCTCTTCCTTTCTTCCGCACATATATGTGCCGCAGTTCTAATGTGTCGGCCTCATCTGGTCGATAGCTTGAGGCGGATTCCTACAACATCGACGTTTCACATGGCAAGCTCGTACTTTTCTCAAAGGCTGTTTCATATCAATTCTAATAGGCCGCCTCATTGAAGCGACGCTTAGCTCGAGGTACAAGATGAAGAAGTATATATTTCAGTACAGTAAATGGAAGAGAATAAAGTATCAGTTAGGACGCATGAGTACAGTATAGAAGAGAAGAGATATAGTACATACATCTACATTGCGGTGAGAAAACATATAACATCTATCGAGTAGCTAGTGAGTCGACACACAGACTCTCGTAAAAGTAAGTACAATACAAAAGAAACGAAATTCTCTAATCAAAAAGGAAAACGCATAGATACCTCCGTGAAGATTCTACATCCGCTCACCATTCTACGCGGCGAACATAAACCCGAACCCGGACGTGACTCCAGCAGTGAATTGTTGGATATCAACCTTTACACCGGGTGTCGCGTTAAGAACAGCGACTCTCCCCTTCGCCATATCGCTGAAAACGTTGACGATCACATCGCTGACACTAACGTTCTGCAAGACCCCACTGGCGAGCCTAGACTCGACCATCTCAATCACGGGTGTAGCATCCGCGATGGGGGCAGGAAGCCTGGTGATGAACTGCACCGGCAGCCGACTATGTTCCACGTGGCGCTGAAGACTCAGCGCGCGCAGCATCGGTAACACAGAGGTCGACGACTTCATCCCCTCGTAAAACGGCACTTCAAAGTCGCCGTCGCACAACAGATTCTCGAGCGTCGGCACGCTAGAGAGTATGGTAAAGAGGTCCTCAGTACTGCCGTTCCAATGCAGAACGAGATCCGTCAAGGAGCATTTCGACCGACGGATGAAATCAGGGAAGAATGATGTTGGGAACATAAACTCTGCAAAAGCCTTGTCCATCACCGTAAGATGCTCAATGTTCGGCGCAGTGATTGCATCGAGGAAGCACGGGGCATCGACTTGCAGCTGTAGCAACCGGGTCATCTCGACCGGATTTTGGTTGATCGGACTCCCATCGCTACGGCGTATCCTGATAGCCAAGTAGACGACATTCTTGCAGCGGTTAAGGACCGGCATGAGACAAAGAGTACGCGGGATGATGGCGTGGACTTTCTCGAGGAGCTTCAAGCGATCCTCTGGGATCGCTGCGAAGTCTCCCCAGATTGGTGCAGGCGCTACGAGGTTCAACGAGCGCCAACGAGGGGACTCTGCGGAGAGGAGGGAGAAAAACGGTCTCCACACAGAAGAGACGACGTCGTCTAGTTCTGGGTACTTGGTGGGGAAGTGAAGGGAGACGTCGAGCGGGACGTCGCCTGAGCAACCAAGGATATAGGTGAGGACTTCATTTGTGGTCTCGTTCAGAATCATAGTAGGTACGTTCTTCAACGGCTCCTCGTCGTACATGGTGAAATTGACAGTCCTTCCAGCCACCGTCTCCATGCTACTGGCGTGCGGGGGATAGTTTACTGCCAGGTTGATTGTCGACCAGAGAGATTTATCAGAAAGGACAGCAGATCTCCATGAACTGCTGACTTGTCCGAGGACCCATAGGCCGTCGGAGAAGTCGAAGGACTGGACAGGAACGTCGCGGTTGGTTAGATAGTGATGGAAAACCTTGAGGACGACCTCCAAGTGGAGGCGAGACGATGTATCCATTGCTGAAGCTCTGGGATATGTCAGTAAGGAAATATCACTGGTATTAGAGGAGACGTACGAGCAACCAGTAGGTAAGAGGAGGGATCGTCGCACGTCGGACCTTAAGCGCTTATCAGTGATGGAAGTTTGATATCAAGAGGTTTCGGGCCGCAAACCGGATTTTAATTAATATCGGCATCTTCCGCTAAAGTTTGAACCCAAACCAAATTCAATCTAAGTACTTATTTAACCAATGAGAATTTGTGGAGCGCTGGGAAGGAAAGTTTGTTACCCGACGGAGCTCCTCAGCGGTAATCGATATTTGGGTCTGTGAAATCTGTCAACTTGCAAAATGTTTAATTCCAAAAGTAGCCATTGGCCATTGATTGGCCAAGCAAGATGAGCATGAACACCTACTTACAACAAATCCTTATCAATAAAATCGATAGCGACAGGAATGGGACCCTATGCGCATAATTGCTCGATCTCGATCTTAACCTGGGGTAACGCGTTAAGGGCGGCCAGCCTCTTCTTCGCCTCGTTACCTAAAATTCTCACAACTAAACAGCCAACATATACACTCTCCAACTTGCCACCCACAAGCCTAGACTCGACCATGTCAATGAAGGGAGTAGCATCTGCGTGGGCGTCGGACTCGAGTAAAGCCTGTAGCAGACGACTCCCAATGGATGCACTGGGCTGAAGGGAAAATGCCCGTAACCTGGGTAGTATGGAGGATGGTAACTTCATCCTCTCATAAAAGGCCATGTCGAGGTCGCTGTGGCATGATAGCGACTCAAGCATTGGCATGCTCGAGAGAATTATGAATAATTCGTCGAGGGTACCACGCCAAAAAAATTCGAACGCTGTGAGGACACATTCAGAGCGATGGAGGAAGTCACCTAGTCGAAGGGATAGTGGACGAGGGGGAGGTATAGGGACAGTGCTGTCCACAAGCGACAAAGAGTTCAGGTTCGGCGCAGTGATAGAATCAAGGAAGGACGGTGCGCGTATTGCGAGACGATGCAGTTGCGGCATACGAACAGAATTTCCGTCGAAGTGAGAAATATCAGGGGTGTCATAATGAAGTCCAATCTTCAAACTGATGATACTCGGGCTGCAACTAATAACAGGGATGAGCACGGAACCATTCTCAAAGGTAGCGTGCAATTTCCGGAGAAGTGGCAAACGAGTCGGTGGGATTCTAGAAAAATCTTCCCAGATGGCAGTGGGTGCTGCGAGCTTCAAGGATTGGATTCGGTTGGATTCTGCTGTAAGAAGTGAAAAGAATGTCCTCCAGGTTGAGGGGATCGTTCTTGCTGATCTTTCGATTGGGAAATAGAGAGACAGGGAAAGCGGAGTGACTCTCGACCGAG